TTTATAGGCACACATCATGATATGAACTGAGTTTGTATTTGGTGTTTACTGGACTGATCGATTAATTGTGCTGATATGTCTGTAAACTAAAAGCTGTGCAGTGTCACAAAACCTGAGATAGTCTTGTTTTTTTTTCTGTAAAACTTATGTGAGAAAAGAGTATTTAAATTGGTCTATACAACTGATAAAATATGTTGGAATTAAGTTATTTCTTTTATCATTTATTAAGTAATTGTATTGACTGTATCGTAATATTTTTGTGATTTTGTTCTGTCCTGAATTAATTTTCGTCCTCCTATGGTAAATTTTCTCAATGACACCCCTGCAGATCGAGTTTAATGAACTTAAACATGTTGCGCCCTCCTGTGGTGATTTTTGTGAATTACATCGCCGCAAATCGAGTCTGTAATTATGGCAAGCCGTTTTGACTTTTATTCCTTAATAGGATATGAATTCTTGATATCAACAATTCAGTTTTCACTAGTTAAGATGCTCATTCTTGATATCAGGAATTTGATTTTTACTAGTAACAATGGCTATTCTTGATATCAGGAATTACATTTCCACTAGTAAAAATGTTAATTCTTGATATCAACAATTCAGTTTTCACTAGTTGAAATGCTAATTCTTGATATCAGGATTTAAATGTCAACTAGTAAAAACTATCATTATTTATTGATATCTGTAGTTGTATTTTCACTAGTTAAATGTCACCATAGGCTGCCATTCAAATTCAATTGTTTTTTGTTTTTGTTTTTCAAATGTCTATTCTTGATATCAACAACTGAATTGCTACTAGTACAAATGGTCATTTTTGATATCAATAATTCGATTGTCACTAGTGACAATATTAATTTCTGATATCATGAATGTGATTGTTACTAGTAAAAAAAGAAATTCTACTAGTAGTCAATAACATTTCAACTAGTGACAATTGAATTCTTGATATCAGGAATTAGCATTTTTACTAGTAAAAATGTAATTATTGATATCAAAAATTATATTTCTACTAGTAATAAATACAAAGCTGATGTGTGTATTTAGAATTTTAACTAGTAAGAAATGCATTTTTTGATATCTGTAATAGTTTTGTCGCCCTTTTAACATTTTACCACATGTAGGATATGAATTGTGGATATCAGAAATGCTGATTGATATCAGGAATTACATTTCCACTAGTACCGACATGAATTCTTGATATAAAAAATGACGTCATCACTCGCAGAAATACATTTATGATATCAAAAATGAAATTGCAACTAGTAATAAGCATAGCCTACTTCTTGAAAAGTATTTTTACTAGTTAAAATATTATTTAAAATATCAGTAATTCTATTTTCACTAGTTGCAAGGGCAATTTCAGATATCACCTGCCTTTGTTGATATCAATAATTTCTTTGTTACTTCTACTAGTAATAAATACAAAGCTGATGTGTGTATTTAGAATTTTAACTAGTAAGAAATGCATTTTTTGATATCTGTAATAGTTTTGTCGCCCTTTTAACATTTTACCACATGTAGGATATGAATTGTGGATATCAGAAATGCTGATTGATATCAGGAATTACATTTCCACTAGTACCGACATGAATTCTTGATATAAAAAATGACGTCATCACTCGCAGAAATACATTTATGATATCAAAAATGAAATTGCAACTAGTAATAAGCATAGCCTACTTCTTGAAAAGTATTTTTACTAGTTAAAATATTATTTAAAATATCAGTAATTCTATTTTCACTAGTTGCAAGGGCAATTTCAGATATCACCTGCCTTTGTTGATATCAATAATTTCTTTGTTACTAGTAAAAATGCGAATTCCTGATATCAAGAATTAGCATTTTTACTAGTGTTACGTCTAATGACGTATTAATTTTTGTCTCTATTATTGATACAAAGAGTGTTATTGGTGTTTGTATTTTTGCTCTCTTTCTCTCCCTTTCTCTCTCTATCTGTGTGTCTGTGCTTTATAGGCTAATGATGAAAATGGAAACCTGTGAAGGAATAAAAGTCAAAATGGCTTGCCATAGTCTAATAAACTTAAACAGATTGTGCCTTCCTGTGGTGATTTTTCTAAATTGCACCACTGCAATAAATTAGCTTAAATGGGTTACACCCTCCTTTGTCAATTACACTTGTGTCACTTTTTAAATTAAATATAATTTTTAAAATGCATTCTTGAATACTGTAAGTAATGTTACTGACAGAAGTTGTCACAGTGCATATATATAGGCTATATATTCAGCTAATCAACAATGAAATTAGCACCTGACAGAGTGGCATGTGACGCTGCAAAATTTACTGGACAAACAAAACATTTACTCACAGTTGGCGGTTGACAGGTGTTTAATTTCGTGCCCTGAATTGAGGACAGAAAAACGCCTACAACTGACATTTGTTCTCTGTCCAGCAGCTGGTAATAAATCTGATTGAGGCAGAATCTTGCAAGAATTTCTGTTTTAGACAAATCAAGCTTGCGATGGTGATATAAACAAACAAAACTGACACCCGCTGCGATAAAGTGCAGGAATCGAGAGTCACTGTAAGTAACTCCACTCATACAGTACTTACTCTTTGCACTAGCCAAGTATTTCAGTTTTGATGTGTCATTATTTCCTCTGATATGTTGTAGCGGTGCTCCGCTGCCAGTTTTATGTTATGTTATGATTTATGTTATGATGAATTTCATGTGTTGTTTTTAATGTGTCTCCATGCGGACACTAAAGCACAAATGTGACCCTGGACCACAAAACCAGTCTTAAGTGTCAATTTTTCAAAACTGAGATCTATACATCATCTGAAAGCTGAATAAATAAGCTTTCCATTGATGTATGGTTTGTTCGGATGGGACAAAATTTGGTCGATTTGTCCTATAAGTCCTTAGCAATGCATATTACTAATCAAAAATTAAGTTTTGATATATTTACGGTAGGAAATTTACAAAATATCTTCATGGAACATGATCTTTACTTAATATCCTAATGATTTTTGGCATAAAAGAAAAATCTATAATTTTGACCCATACAATGTTTTTTTGGCTATTGCTACAAATATACCCCAGCGACTTAAGACTGGTTTTGTGGTCCAGGGTCTCAAATACGCATAGATTTGTTGATGTGTTGTAGTTTAAATAGGCCACTTGTTTTTTGACAACTATGTATTAAGGCAGTTGTTGACATGCCTATGTTTGTATGTAACGTTACTATTATTTATATTAACTTTTCAATTCTGATGGTTTAGATGTACTATATAAAGTAATGTCAGTGTTTATTTCTCTCTTTCCTCTACAGAATAAGGGATGTGTTTGATCAGAAGCAGAGCTCTGGGACGTGTGGACAGACTTTCACTGTAATGATGGACGTCCGCTCATGGACTGGCATGTAGCATAACTTCTGTTTTTGTTTTGTTGTGTACTAAACATGTAGGTTACCATCATTTTCTTTTTGGAGGGTCACCTCTCTAGAATGCAAATGATGGTAACCTAAACAGGTGGGGAAGGGACGGCGGAGCTGAAAAGTTACACAGCTAAATTTTTATTTATTTTTTTTCCGTCAAGAAGTATAACCCCTGCTGGACATTGTGCCAGGGCTCGGGGGGGACCCAAATCATCCCCATCCCTTCATTCACACAACACTCACTCATATCACGGAGATCTGGCTGGGATCGAACCAGCAACCTCTGAACCATGAGGCAGCGCTCTAACCTGTGAGCCACAGATCTCTTGCTTGAACTGGTGAAGGAACTTATATTTCACTGTTAACCTGCATGTGATTTGACAAGAAATCAGTCGAAGCTTTGGCAGAGTCTCTTTCGAATCATCCCCTTGACAGAAATCTGGCTGGGATCGAACCAGCAACCTCTGAACCGGGAGGCATCAGTTGTCTGAATACACTGAGGTGGGAATTGAACCCATGCCTCTATTGCAGCCACATCAGCCGAAACCATGGGCTTAACCATTAACCCATTGTGGCTTTCTCATTTTGTGCTGGGATTTTGTGGCACCTTGTTGAATGTAACGACGACAATTTGAAGTAAGCAATAGTGAGATTTGAACTCAGGTCTCCATGATTAAAACACAACGCTTAATCATCTGAGCTACTTGGTCCGTGAAGTCAAAGTGAGCTTTGGAGAGACTTTTATTAATGTTATGAAAAAATTTAAATTGCAGAGTTTGAACCAAGACGCTCACCTTTGAAGGCAAGCAATTATCCTCGGCGCCACAGCGTTGTGACAACAGGGTTTTATTGAGATTTTGACTTTGTTTTACATGATTTGAACTCGGGACTCCAAGATCAATGCATTAACAAATCAGTCTGAATCAAATGTACAAACAATCATAATTATCTTTAAGAACTTTATTGATCCGTCAAATGTCAAACTCAACCTGATAAACAAACACACAACATGTAAATAACATCATTTGTTAATATTTGTATTAGTATTATTTATTTTAATAAGAAACATAGGGTCCAACAAACTTGCCTGGAAGTTTCTAGCGGTACTAAACGCATTGATTAGCTGCTTCAGGTGTTTTCAATCAGTTTGGAGCTAAACTCAGGAAAGTGGGTCAGGATTAATCAGCCCTGTTCCTAATGCAGTTTTTACAGATAATTGCAGATACACGTATTGTCCACAAGGTGGTGCTGAGTGCTGACATACTGATCTGATCTCAAGCATGTGTCTGTTCTATTAATTATTAAAAATAAGCAAAAACATTTCGATGTTTAGTCATAATATTAGTCATTAGTTTGTCAGCTGTCATTTTGATACAGGGTTTAATTAGCATTTGTCCAAATCTGTCCTGTTTTTCAAATAACCTGTCAATCTTTGCTATAAAAGCATGAGTGATCAATCACTCTGACCAGCCAGTTTGTTCTGTGTAGATCAGTGAGGCTCACTTTGTTCTTCCACACATCCCGGTAGTGAATATATTTGCCTGCTCACTGTCGCCCTCCTCCATCCATAACCTCCTCCTCACCCATCCAGAGCTTCCGATAGACTCAGAGCAGGGTGAGGATTGGGAAGCGCTCGCTATCCAGATGCTCCTCAAAGGGGGAGCAGGAGAATCCATTCCAATTCCCCAAAACCAAAATAATCACAAGAGACAACACACAAAAATCATTGTTTAACTGTGAAGAAACATGGTACACATCCATTTAAATAAACAATCTAATTTACCCAAATACAAGAATCTTGGAAAGCCTTTTGTTCTGTAGTTTATGTGTGTGCTTTTGAGTTCAACACAACATTTAATCAGTTTTACCTCATCAGTCGAGAGCTGATCAGGTGCATTTAGATAAACGGACAGATCCATGTTTATCTGCTGGTTGTGGCAAAGTATGAGATTTGTTGTAAAATACATGAAATTTAAATCTAAGACTGGTCACCTTGTCGTTTGTCGTTTTAATGAATGAATGCTGATAGATTTGTTGACCACACGAGGGAGCAGATGTCTTTGAGTCTGCTCGTGAGTGAAACTGAAGCGCAGTTGTTCCTCCGCTCCACTAGGCGGCGGAAGCGGCTTCACGTTCAGTCTGAGCGCTTCGGATGAGTGACAGAATGACGCTTGTTGTGACAACATGTGCAGACCGTTTAAAATACAGATCCTGCAGATGACAGCTCAGTGACAGTGTTTTTAATGTCATTAAACAGCATCTATTCCAGCACATAAACAAACAAAACCGACACCTGCTGCGATAAAGTGCAGGAATCGAGAGTCACTGTAAGTAACTCCACACATGCAGTGCTTTTCTCTTGCACTAACATTGAAGTACTTACTCTTTGCACTTAAGTCGTTATTTACTTTAATAACCAAGTATTTCAGTTTTGATGTGTCATTATTTCTTCTGATATGTTGTAGCGGTGCTCCGATGCCAGTTTTATGTTGTGTTATGATTTATATTATGATGAATTTCATGTGTTGTTTTTAATGTGTCTCCACGCGGACACTAAAGCACAAACACGCGTGGATTTGTTGATGTGTTGGTTTTTTTTAAAACCAAAATCTTGTTTAAATAGGCTACTTGCTATTTGACAACTAAGTATGTATTAAGGCAGTTGTTTACATGCCTATGTTTGTATGTACTATTATTTATATTAACTTTTAAATTCTGATGGCTTAGATGTACTATATAAAGTAATGTCAGTGTTTATTTCTCTCTTTCCTCTACAGAATAAGGGATGTGTTTGGTCAGAAGCAGAGCTCTGGGACGTGTGGACAGACATTGACTGTAATGATGGACATCTGCTCAGGGACAGGTAATGTATCTCATGTGTGAATGTGTGTTCTAGTGCACTAAACATGTAGGTTACCATCATTTTCTTTTTGAAGGGCCTTCCTTTGAAAAGCAAATGATGGTAACCTAAGTAGATGGGGAAGGGACGGGGGATGAGAATTTTTATGCAGCTTTCGTTATTTTTTTCAGTCTGTGCAAAAGTATAACCACTGTGGGTCACGGTGCTGGAAGCTCCAGGGGGAGACCGTACTGATATCCCCCTTCTTCAGGCGCGCCTTCACACACACTCCTCCATTCACTCGTATCGCAGAGACCTGGCTGGGATCAAACCAGCAACCTCTGAACCATGAGGCAGCGCTCTTACCTGTGAGCCACAGATCTCTTGTTGAAAAAAGTGAAGGAACTTATATTTCACTGTTAACTTGTAATTTCACAATAAACTAGTTAAAGCTTTCAATTGTGGTTGTCATTTGAAACGCTGCAGTGGGACTTGAACCCATGCTTCAATCATAGCCTTGCACGCAATGAACATTGTTTAGCCACTAGTTCCACTGTGGCTCTTACGCTGAGTGATGGCATTTGGGGCACTTTGTTGGATATAAGGCCAACAATTTAACATAAGCATTAATGGGGTTCGAACTCAGATCTCCTTGATTAAACCACAACGCTTTATGAACTGAGCCACTAAGTCTGGTGTGTTAAGTTGTGTTTTGAGCTGTGTTTTGGATGGTATTTTGTTGAGATCTTTGTTTTAAATGAAAATAAACATTAATATCAGTGAGATCTGGCTGGGATCGAACCAACAACCTCTGAAAACATGAGACGGCTCTTTTATCTGTGAGCCACAGATCTCATGTCTGTCCCTGTGCAGGAACTTATATTTTACTGTCAACCTGTATGTGACCTGTGATTTTATAATAAACTATCCTGTAAACATGATCATCTGCCGTGTGATTTGAACTCATGTCTCTATCACCATCTTGGTACTCAAAGAGCAAGGGTTTATCCACTAGCCCATCAGAGCGCTCACATAGTCTTGGTGTTTGAGTGACTTAGTGGGATGTAATGAAAACGATTTAACATAAGCAAACATTGTGGAGTTGATGAATAACTTTAACAACTGTGGGATTTGAACCAAGACTCCCATGTATGAAGGAAAAGACATTAACGACTGAGCCACAGAGTCTGTGATACAATTGTTGTTTTGTGAATGACACCACTGCAAATCGGGTCTAATGAATTTACATGGGTTGTGCCCAAAATCTCCTGTGATGATTTTTGTGAATTACACTGCTGCACTTCGAGTCTAATGAACTGAAATGAGTTTGCTGTCTCAGGGTAGAAATTTTTTTTAACATGCATTGCTTTAAGTCAGATGTCAGTCGGTTTGTGCAGCGAGCACACCACTGAGTGAAGTCGAACACACCTTGTATAACACTGGGTGCTTCTCAAATGGAAGGCTGCATCCTTCCTAGCTCAGTCCTTCAGAGTCTTGTAGGCTAGAGTCCTCCTCGGCATTAAACGCTAGAATGAGACAGTCTAGTAAGTGTGCGTGGCTACATCACATATGTTTCCACCCTCACCGCCACGGCTCGAAAATACTAATAAAACTTAGTTTTGGAAAAATACTTTGTATTACAAATCATATTATTTGGCTTTCTATTAATGCAATACAATGAATCACAGCTGTCAAGTCTCCCAGTGGCTTACATTATTGGCAGTTTAGTGTTTAGTGAGTAATTTACACCAAAACAAAAAATAGCATTTATGCATTCATGACTGGAAACATTATTTTTGTCTTACATTTCATAATAAATTCAGACAAGCTCAGTACTGAATCGTTTTTCGTTAGTTTATTTTCATGAAATGGAATGGGTACAAAGGATTGTGGGTGAGTGAAGGTCACGGAGGACACATCCCATGCATCCTTCAAATTCAGCTGAATGAAGGACGCGAAACGAAGGCTGCCTTCCAAGGATCCTTGCGATTGAGATGACCTTCAACGATGTTTGATGACGCGGCAGCCGAGATATGCAGTCTTCGAAGGATGCAGCCTTCCGTTTGAGAAACACCCACTGACAGCTGTGCATTACACAATGATGGTGATTGGCTGTGGCAGATGAATATTTAATTAGCGGTCTATTCAAGCTGTGGGTGCTTATGAACGATGTAAAATTTGTAGTTAATAGGAGTTATAGTTCTGTCTATCATTCTCTTTAGTGTTAATTAAGTGGTTCCATGTTAAATTTTAAAATAAAGTTGTGCCCTCCTGTGGTGTTTTTTTTTAATTACACAGACACAAATAGAGTCTAATGAATTTAAACAGGTTTCGCTCTCCTGTGGTGATTTTTGTAAATTATACCACTGCATATCGAGCCTACCAAACTTAAAGGGGTCATATGATGCGAGTTTTTTGAATTACACAGACACAAATAGAGTCTTGAATGAATTTAAACAGGCTTCGCTCTCCTGTGGTGATTTTTGTAAATTATACCACTGCATATCGAGCCTACCAAACTTAAAGGGGTCATATGATGCGATTTAAATTTTTCCTTTCTCTTTGAAGTGTTGAGTTGCACCCTCCTGTGATGATTTTTGTGAATTACACTGCTACAAATTTAGTCTAGTGTTTATTTATACAACAATTTAAACAATGCGATTGCTTCAAAGCCGTTTAAGTAATAAACAGAAAAATACAGTGTCTGTTCATAATTTTCAGGAATCATTGTTAGAATTATGATTACAATTTCAATTTTAACTATAAAACCGTTCCATCGTGTGTTAATGTTTTTATCTATTGTTCTCTTTGCCTCGATGGAACCAGTGGAAGTAAGAAATGAATGTAGATGGAGCACACCAACCTATTTCACAATCACAAAGGAGCAGTGGGAATTTGAAGGTGTTTACCATCCCGGGGTGCGTTTCCCAAAAGCATCGTTAGCTAACGTTGGTTCTTAGTTCTACTGAACTCTATTGGTAACGACGGAACTTGCGACCATAGTTGCTTTTGGGAAACGCACCCCAGAGCGAACTTTCCAGGAAAGCCCTTATTGCTCTCCTGTGGTGTTTTTTTGTGAATTGCACTGCTGCAAATCAAGTCTAGGGTTACGCTCTCCTGTGGTGTTTTTTATGAATTGCACCCCTGCATATAATGATCTTAAATAGGTTACGCCTTCCTGTGATTTTTGTGAATTACATCGCTGCCATTTTAGTCTACACCCTCCTGTGGTGATTTTTAAGAGTTTCAGCTCTGCATATCGAGTCTAAAGATCTTAAACAGGTTATGCCTTCTTGTGGTGATTTTTGTGAGTTACAATGATTGGTGATTGGCTGTGACAGATTCATATTAAATTACCTGTGTCTGTTCAAGCTGTGGGTGCTTATGAAAGATGTTAAATAGTTAATAGGAATTATAAATCAGCCTGTCATTATTTTTTGTTTTAATTATGTAGTTATATGTTAAATTTAAAATAAAGTATGAATTTGTGTTACCCTTGCTGAGAATAGTGCTCCATTGTACTATCCATGACTTGCTTCATGCTGAGAGCATTTTGTTCTTTTGGTTCTGACGTATATGTGAAGTTTTGTATTATTACATGTTTTTGCCTTACCAATGGTTTTTAAAAAATAAAAGTTTTGTGTTTTTTTGCATTGAATGTGATAATCCAAAATAAGTTTTAAAGGGGTCATATGATGCTTTTATGTATTGTCCTCGAAAGGAAAATTGTTATGGACTACATGTTGCTGCATAGACATACAATAAACAAATAATAAAAACCCATCAAGATAAACACTTGTTAAACAAATGCACAGATACTGGTACAATTTAATTTACACATTGGGACTCTGTATCTTCTACCGGAGGGAAGCAGTTCATACTGTGAATGCAAGAAATCTGATAACCAAGAATCTTCTCCAAATCATCCTCTCACCTCTGAAAACTCAAATGCTGCCTCATCCACATACTCCTTCTCAGACCAGAGTCTGTACCTGGGACTAATTTCCCTGTAAACCTCAAACAACAATTATTTATGCCTGATTAAGCTATACCTGATCCGGGAAGTGTGCTGTGTACATAAATCTTAAATGTTTGAAATTATTACAATTTCTCTCTTATGCTCACCAAGGCTGCAATTATTTGGATGCTGCTCCCTTTTTGGAGTTTTTTTTTTTTTTTTGAGATTTGTCTTAATCATTTTAAAGCATTCAAGTGGGATTGAAACCTGGATGAGGGTGACGCACATCTCTGACACTTAAAAAAAAAAAGTGTTTTTGGGCCTCATGTGATATTGGTCAGTCAAGTTGTTAATCTCAGTAACTACCAAAGATTAATTAATTAGAGGCGTTTTCTGCTGTTTTCTGCATTTTACAAAGATGAAACTGCTTGCTCTTTCTCTGCAAAGATGAACTTGCTTTATTAAAATAGAATGGGGAACTGCAGTTGTCAACCAGACAAGACTTCTGAAATTAAGGAACCTTTAAAGGAGAAGGTTGAAAAAAAGTGGAATTTAAATGAAGAGGTGATTGCTCAGACACAATTGTGGTCAGAATTTACAAAGGTTCATGCAGTGTTCAAGTTTTAGATGTGACCAGGCAGCTTCTGGAACAGCCACCTCGACAAATGGGAGCGAACAGACTGGAGTCTGCTCAAGAAGTGAGAGAGAAGCAGAGACACTGCTGCAGAGAGAAGAGGAAGTGGCTGACGGGCATTCAGCTCCCCTCATGAAAGAAGAAGTTGACACTTCTGAGGAGTCAGCATGGAAACTAACTAAATGCAGGAAAAAAGTGAAACTTTCACTTGAGACTTTTCCTAAAGACTAAGAGAACATCCTACAATGCAAAATCATGTCAGGATTGATCAAAACCCAGACTGAGGAGAGGCAGAGAAACAACAGAGGCCATTGACAATGACACCAGGCCTTTGAGTGCCACCACTGGCTGACAATCCAATGCAACAGCCCAGCAAATTCAACTGACTGGCCATCCACACTGAAGGACATCCCCTACATTGTGGGCACAGGTGCTGCATATTCTATGATCACTACAGAGACCGCTTCAAATTGTGTTAATTATAACATCTTAATTCATTTCAATTACTTACTGGTCTCACGGAAGTTCTTTATTCTCTGTTAAACTAACTTTCTGAATCTGCTTTAATAGATACCAGTCCAGCCCTACTGTATCATAATGAAGGAAAAAAGGAAGTTCATTGACAGAAGTGGGAGCTTGACTTAGTGCTGTCAAACGATTAATCGCATCTATAGTAAATATAGTTATTGTTTACATACTATTTGTGTGTGTATTGTGGATATTTAATATGTATAAATACACGCACATGCATGTATATATTTAAGCAAAATATATTATGTTTATATTTTGTGTATTTATATATACATAATAAATATACAATATCAACTTTTTTTGGCCATGGATCCAAGATTGTGTGGAGATCTCCAATCTTCTTCTAAGTAGCTCATGAGCAACAACAAAAATGAATTGCGTAATGAATGAAAAATTGCATTTGATAAATTGAAATTGGCTCTCTCTCAACTGCAAGCCTAGGTCTATCACATTATTCTAAATCATTTAATCTATTAGATTTTTTAAAAGTTAGGTTTATGTCCGTGGTGTCAAACTTAACCCATTGCGACTGACATCAGACAACTGCAATTAATATCCTAACGTTGAGACACTGTCGCACGGTGTGTCGCAATAACGGATGCATATTGACAAGGCAGCTAGACGTCTGTCTGAAAATAATAATAACCCTAACAACCCGTGACTTGAGTAACAAGCTGAAGTAATCAAAAAACAAATTTGCTTTGCCGGTAACCAGTTATATTAGAGAAAAAAGATGTAATAAATAATGTGATTTTTGCCATGCACCTATTCTATATAAACTGTATTCTTTTCATTGGAGGATTCTCTGTGATTGGAATGAGGTCATCCCAGCTGTAATTAAAGTATATTCAAAGGCATTGTCTGGAGTCTGTCTGGTTACTGCTGCACAGCAGGTGTAGTGGAACACTTAGAGGTCTTAGTCCCAAGTGATAGTGTTCAAAAGGGACGAGGCATCATCCGACTCAACAGGGTCACTAGTGACGTGCTAAAAAAGTATAATTTTCTAAGTTTCGCCACAGACACTTTAAGTGTCACCAGAGATGTCCCAGATTATATCAAGTCAGGTGTGTATGGGGAAATTCTGCCACAGTGTGTAACCACATGTCCCACCAGACGCGTTTGAGAACTTTCAAGTATTTTTGTGGAAGAGTGGAGTAACATCTCACAGCAAGAACTGGCAAAACTGGTGCCGTCTATAAGGATGAGATGCACTGTAGTACACTAAGCAGCTGGTGGCCACTGGCCACACAAGATACTCACTGCAACTTTTGATACTGAAAATAATTACTGTTCAAAACATACCCTTGAATCTTAATACTATGTGCTGTTACCTGGATGATCCACAACTGTTTTTATGTTTTGTGATAGTTGTTCATGAGTCCCTTGTTTGCCCTGTCCAGTTCAACTGGCTGCTGTTCTACAGAAAAATCCTCCAGCTCCTTCTTTGGTTTTCCAGCATCTTCTGCATATTTGTCCAGAAACGTAGCAAGGAGATCTGTAAAATAATCCATGTGACATCAGTGGTTAATCCGCAATTATACGAAGCTACGAGAATACTTTTTGTCCGCAAAAGAAGAAAAAAAAACGACTTTATTCAACAATTAGTCTCCTCCGTATCACCCTGGTGCCATTTTGGAGAGTATCCGTTGGACGTATGCTGTTCTGTGTCACGCCGGATCTGTTTCTTATATTGTTGTGATTTTATCTGAACGGAAACAGCGTATCCGTGTGACGCAGCTGACAAAGAACAGCATACTTTGAAACGACATGAGGGTGAGTAATTAATGACAGAATTTACATTTTTGGGTGAACTAACTCCGTTCCTGGCTGTGGAAAATCAACATGTTTGAATACGCTGCCGAAGGATCCAGACGTCAGAGAAAAATGAATTCAGTTTATTTTTTGCGAACATCCCAGTCCCGTCAGTGTTAATTTACGCATGTGTTCACTACATTTCACGGATGACTGCTTTGAGAACAAATCGCAGTATGATGCTGGCTTTGCCAGAACACTTTTGCTCAAAGATCAGGCCGTGCCTGTAAGTAATGTGTTCTGACCATAGACTGTAAAAAAAGATGGACAACACGTCTCCTATTCCTTCCACTATATAAAAGTGAAGCCAAAGCATCTCAGTATGGCCGCTGCCATCTTGAGTAAATGACATCATTTGGAGCCAGAGTCTGCACAGTAGAGATTTGTTTGGAGCCAGAGTCTGCGCAGTAGTGTCGTGAGGTGGAGAA